CAGTACACAGTCCACCAGCCCTTCTGCTCATAGTCTTTTGGTCAGAGATAGTCTCATGGCCCCTGGACTAACAGCAGCAGAGGTTGGACATGTCAGGGAGCACAGGGGCCATCTGAGCACTAGTGCTTCTTTGGCAGACTAATTTTGGTTGGATTTTAATTCTTTCTTTTGAATTCTGCATTCAAAATGTTAGTAATAGGATTAACTCAATTTTTGCCCCAAATCGGTGACATGACACTCCTTGTAATACTTCTTTTATGGCATCACATTGTCTAATGCTTTATCCTTTTCAAAGTCCTTTTCCATGTTTCATTTCATTTGATTGCAGCAGAATTTCTGACAGTTAAGGGAACTGCGGACTTCCTTTCCATTTTCTTAGGTTCAACAGCTGTGGTACCCAGGAAGCAAGATCTACAAATGGAAGGAGGATATAATCTGTTAGCTCACCCTCTGGAACTGGTCTAGCACCCAGGATTATCAACAAAAGCAGTCTTACATAACTGGAACTAAATCTTGGTAGACTGTTACTATGTCTTTTGTGCCCTGTTAGAGATGTGAGTGACATCTGGCCTGTGTTTGTGGAACCTGCTTGGAGGAATGGGAGGTGGGATGGGATGGGGTGACTGAGTCTGGGAGCCAGGGTAAAGCTATACTGTTCCCCAGCCAGGCAAAGCCAGGGGTTGGAAGCTATTCACAGCCTTACCTAGTATCTTCGTTTCAGTAGTTAATGAAAAAAACTTCTGAGGTGATTCTGAATTTAAAAGATCATGAAAATGAAAATGAAGTGTGAAATGGCATGAACACAGTTACACAAATAATTGAAAGTTCTGAATTGTGGGATGATTTCCTTTGGTAGTGGTGAGGGCAAATGTGGAGAAGGAAATGGTAACCCGGTGCTCTTGCCTGGAGAATTCCATGGACAGAGGAGCTTGGCAAGCTACAGTCCATGGGGTCAAGGGCAAACTTAGATTTCAACTTTTGCTCCTAATATATTTTCTTAAAACATTATTGCCAGTAGAGTGGATAGAGTCCATGGACTGGTTTATGAAGAAAGCCAATAATGAATATGTTTATAGACTGACCGGTCTGTGTTCTGACTTTAACATCTAGGTCCTTCAACTAACGCTGACAACTTTGACCTGATTTTGGGAGTCAATTATATTTGGCTGGGTTGCTGAGCTCTTTCTCAGAACCTCTTCTCCAGGCAGTGGCCAAATGTTCTTTTTGTAACTGTGTTGTAAAATCTGAGGAAAGTTGTCTTGGGTCATTGCCCAGGACCTAATGCCCCAATTGTAGACATACATGGTTGCAAATCTTTATATTCTATTAGAGCTGAAACCAGACATCACCCACATCCTCACAAAGCTCTCAATAACTAGAAAGATTATCTGATGTCCTCGTTGCCTAATGGAATGCAAGGACTCTTATCTCTCCATTAAGGTAACAATTCCCAAGTCTAGCATAGTCCTTCTGGATGCTTTTAAAACCAGTATTGTCTTTTATAACTTACACAAGATTTCAAGCTTGATGTGCTGAAAAGACTAGTATAGCTCCCTTACCTCTGTTCTGTCCACTGACTTGAATAATTTGGGTAGCTTTCTATTTCGTATACACATTGCTTAACTAAGCCTCTGAAAAGTGAAATGGTGTCTAGAAGTGTCACTAAAACATCATCAATTTTCACCTCTCCAAAATGTGAGCAGGATATTATCATCCTCAGAACATTAATATTTCTTTGGGAATCATAATGATCATACCAAAATGTAGCCTCTTCTTTAAATTTGTTTAGAAGAAAACAGTAATGTTTAATCAGAAAAGAGATAAACATTTAGCAAGGAGGGTGGGGTGGGGGTGACTCAGGAAGAGTATGGTGAGGAAAAAAATGAGGAAAGAGTAAAACTGTCTACACAGTCTTTGCTGCTGGGCTCTGAGCTATTCTCATCCTGTCAGCACAATTAATGAAGGAAAAATAGTCCCCAGAAGAAATGTGGCTGGAGGCACTGACCTGCACTCCATCCCCCTCATGCCAAGAGGGACAAAGTCTAGAGAGAGTTTCCCCAGTGGAGTTACTGGGATACTGACTCCTTGGCCCTGGGTAAAACCTCCTTTCTTTATCAACCTCTGGGGCAAGTTAATTCAGGGCTGAGAGTATATACAGAGCTGCTAATGCAGAGGAAGAATCTCTTTTCTCAAATAGTTTCCAGCATATCTGGGGAGGAAATATTTACACCCTAGAGATGATGAAGGGACTGAGGTCCCTCACAAAGCAGGGGGTAACCCAGAACTGGCTTTTGGGGTTTTCAGGTAAGAATAAGGGTAAGTTAAGGGTAAGCTTTCCCCTCCGGGGCACCTGGGAAAGACTTTAGGAGAAAGGCAATCCTGGGTAAACCTAAAGGGAAATATAGCTACAGCTGGATGGGGAGATGGAAAGGATATAGATGAAGGGTTGTGCATTGGATAAACAGCCTGATTGGAGGGAAGGCTTTCAACTGGGTTGTTGTAGTTAACACTGAAAAATTTCTTGAGTTCCTGCCACCTCCCTCTAAATGCCAATTACACCTGAATCCACTTTCTATAAAAGTGTTGACTGTTGGTTTAGTCTGCATAATCCAAGATGGTCTTCAAATTTATTTCATGCATTTTACAGTAGGCTCATCTGAGATTTTAGATATCTCATAATTTTTGTGTGTATATGTGACTTCAGAAAGAGATGTGAGAAATTATGCTAATAGGAAAGTCATCTCTTATTTTCTTAAATGTCTTTTTTAAAAAAGATATTGTTTTGATGTGGACCATTTTTAAAGTCTTTATGGAATTTGTTACAATATTGCTTCTGTTTTATGTTTCCGTTTTTTGGCTGCCAGGCATGCGGCAGACCAGGGAATCGGACCTGCACACTCTACATTGGAAGGAGAGTGTTAACCACTGGACTCCTAAGGATGTCCCACCTTCTCTTATTTTGAAAAAGGAAAACTTAAATCAATATTTCATCTTTTGTTTATAATGTACCTACTCAAATCCTAATTTTTCTTAGGTACTAGCAGCAATGGGTAGGGCTTTTCTGGTGGTTTAGGAGGTAAACAATTTGTCTACAATTCAGGAGACCAGGGTTTGATCCCTGGGTTGGGAAGACCCCCTGGAGAAGGAAATGACAACCCACTCCAGTATTCTTGCCTGAAGAATCCCATGGACAGAGGAGCCTCGTGGGCTACAGTCCATGGAGTTGAAAAGAGTTGGACATGACTAAGTGACTTTCACTCACTCACTCAGCAATGGGTAAGGGCCCGGCAGTAATAAGTAAGCCTTGTGTATGTGCATGCTAAGTTGCTTCAGTTGTGTCCGACTCTGAGTGACCTCATGGACTGTAACCTGTCAGGCTTCTCTGTCCATGGGATTCTCCAGGCAAGAATACTGGAGTGGGTTGCCATTTCCTCCTCTAGAAGATCTTCCTGACCCAGGGATCGAACCCCTGTCCCTTATGTCTCCTGCATTGGTGGGCAAGTTCTTTACCACTAGTACCACATGTGGCAAAGGGAAGCCCTTACCTTTACAAAACATTTTCATATTTATTATCTCATGTGGGCAGTCATTACTGTTTCAATTTTTCATTCTTCCTGTTGAGGGTTTTCCACGGAGTTGCAGATCTAACTAATGGAAGAGCCTACATTCAAGCCCAGGCCTCCTGACTCCCAGATTACAGCCTCCCCCATTCCTGGGCCACACCACCTGTTTCGACACCAGAAGTATCTATTGTATTGACCAGGGTAGGAAAACAGCAGTTTTCCACGTGGATGAAAACACAGCTAACTAGGGCATCTCAGTCACTGCTGGTAGAAGCATAAATGGACAAGCTTTGGAAAAAGAGTTTGGTGAAATGTATTAACACTGCTCCTCTATACCTTTACCCGGTAATTTTACTTCTAGGAATCTATCCTAAGGAATCAATACTAAGGATGTGTGACTAAAGATTTACATAGGAATGTGTTTACTGGAATGTTACTTATAATATCCACCAATAGGAGGTTAGTTAAGAGTAGCATGATACATTCCAATGATGAAATGTTAGCAAAGTCATTAAAAACTTCATTTTGAAGATTATTGGTAGGAAAGAAATATTGAGAAGATATTCATGATATAAGATGTAAAGAAAAAAGTTAGCATCAGGATAGTGTAGCTACCAGAGGAAAAAAAGAATTTATGGAAATGTTAACAATGATTAACTGTGGGTGATGAAATTATAAATAATAAATATTTTAAAATTTTTAGTCATTTCTCATGTTCCATATAGAGCATGTAGCAATTTTATAGTTAGGAAAAATTCTATTTAACTTTTTAAATATAGTAAAAACAGAGTAAACACTAAAAACAAATAGTGGTTAGTATTTAAAATCATCATTTTACCTACACTAGTCTATAAACTAGCTCATGTAAAGAGAAAAACAAACAAACGGAGGACTAATTTGTTACTACCAAGGAGAAGATGATACAAGATTTATGATATAAGATTTGCAATAGAGTGTGTGGTAATTACTTAAAGCTAGAAAATTTTGGCTCCAAACAATTGACTCTCTTGCATGAGCTGAGCCAGTTCCACTAAATGTGCAGGAGCTGGGCTCTAGGAAGCTTTGCTACGAGAACTTCTTGAAAGTTCCTCTACCGGGTAGTCATGTGGTTTCTGCCTTCACTATCTTTGGCCCTGTCTTGTCCTGCGGGATCAGGAGAAGCAGGCTCAGCCCTGAACAACATCCCCAGCAAGCAAAAGCCCAGAGATAATTTGGGACTTTCTAGAGGGGAAGAAAGAAAAGTACAGACCCAGAGGGAAAGCAGCCGAGGGACTCAGGGTTAACATTCCACTTTGGGAGGAGACTTTAGTCCTTGGAGGGCTTCCAGTCTGAACTTGGAGAATTCATCAACAGGAAAACAAATAGCTGGCGTGCTCTGTATTTACTTTGCCTTTCTCAAGGTTGCAACATAAATTTCCCAACTTTGCTAGCTGTTAAGGCTGAGGAGACATTTTGTGAGTTCAGGGCCTTTCTTCCGGCCTGTATGACCCACGTGTGGAGCCCCGTTTGGGGAAGATCTAGACCCCCTCAGGGTGCAGGGGAAAATGGTATAGACACTGTTGGACTCTTGCGGCACACAGTGTTGGGGGTGTCAAGGAGCTGGAGAACTTGAATCCTTCAAATGAGAGCTCCAGGCGGGCTGCTTAGGAAAAAATCCACTTATGCCACAGGAGTGAAAGCCCTGAGACTTTCTCACTGGGTGAGTTTATGGCAGGCTGGCCATACAATCTACCCAACGGTGTTTTAGTGGAGTGGTGTCCGAGGGGTGATACAGCTGGATCAATTCCTGAAGCAGCCTTCTTCCACACCACAGGGATATTTGTGCTCTCACTCCCAACATTTCCAATTAGCAGAGCAGCTACTGTTGAAAACCACCACATATAATCCAGAAAAAAAAACTGTCAACGTTAACATTATAAAAATTGAATATGTGTCAGACGTGGATTTAGATTCTTTAGGTTAATATTATTTTTGCTATTAGGTAATGAAGTGATATTAATTTACTTGTGCTGTGTGATTAGGTTAATTACTCCAGAATAATCTTGCATTTTAAAAATTAAAAATGGTGGCTCTATCTTCTCATTATCAATCAAAGCAGCAGTAGCACTATAGAAAGCTTCACCATTTTGTACCCGGCTGTGTGCTTACATGCAGTCAGACCAGCAGTAAAAATGACAAATGACCACACTTGGGTAGATCTTCATGTTTAAGTACCTACAAATAACTGTCCATTTGTGAACGGTTAAACTTAATCAATTATTTTTCCTATAGGCAAGATAACCTCTTTCATAAATAAAAATCTACTATTTAGTAGAAATGATATCAGAGCAGCTTAAATCTTATATATAATAATGCCACAGTATGTGAAAACCAAAAGAGGCTCAAACACAACAAAAGAAAGCTTAGGACTTCATCCTTTTTTTGACCTTCGAAAATATAAGTGCTCTCTCCATGGCTCTATAAATTGTTTAAATCCTTTAATGATTCAAATGTGCTGATAATGTTCCTGCACTCGCTGGAACTGTGGTGCTGATAATATTTTGAAAATTACTTTAATTAACCTTATTTCATCTTGTAGTAGTTATAGAACACATTTATATATTTTAAGTATGCATTAATTTGTTTCATCATTAACCTTGGATTTTACCCTTGGTGATTATGGTAATTTATAATTTGGGTTGCATCAGGTGCTAATGCATTAGAACAATACATATTATGGGTCCTGTCAATAGCTTGAGTGGTCAGGATCCTTTCGTTTACAGCCTGGAAGAGTGGAAGCAGGGACAGGGGCCATGGTTCAACAGATAATCCCAGGGATGGATTTTATATGGCCAGTGATTTTGGTGGAGAAGGAGGGATTCTGAATGGCCAAGCCTGGGACAGACATCCCCCTGCTGTCCATCCTACCTCCTACTGAGATCAGTGAGGGTGTTATAGAAGAAGGGGAAGGAGAAAAATCAGGGGTCAGCCCCCAAACGGTGTCCATCATAATAGTTCATCAGATATAGGTTAAAACGTAATGGTGTACTATTAAGAGCATCTACTGTGTCCCTGCTCAGCTGACAGATTTCCCCCCTCTGTTGCTTTCTTTTCTGACACATCCAGAAATCTAGTACCGCCGGCATAGGAGTCCTGGATTTTTACATCTGCCCCCCAGTTTGTCACAACTTTCAAAAACCCAGGTTTCATCCCTCACCAGTTCTTTTAGATATCCAATTTTAGATATCAAGGGAATGAGTGTCTTCAAATGGCTCACCCCTGGATGTCACAACCTCCCCAGTCCCACTCCTGCCTCCTCTGTGATTTGCATGGGGATAAAAACATCTTCCATAGGAGTAGGGTTGACCTTAGACCAAGACCTCGAAAGTGGTCAAGCATCAGAATAAACAGAAAGGAATTCTGCTTTTTAAAAGTAATGGTTCTTCACATAGTGTCACTTTGACAACTATAAAACATTGTACTTAAGATAGTAAATTATCTTCAGTGGTTCCTGTGACATAATTTTCTGTCACTGTATCCAATTCAAGACACCCCGCCGTGGGCCCCACGGGCGCCATGAACTACAGGGAAGCTAGGCTCCCTGCCCCCAGGTGCAGAGCTCCGGAAGCAGGTAGGCAGCAGCAGGAGCGATTTGCGAGCATTCACATCTCATTTCTGAAAGTGCCAAGCGGGGCCAGAAGAGGGCGAGATTCATCCTAACATAGGGCACCCAGCTCGAATCACAAATGCAGCAAACAACACACTCCTTCCTGACTGGTCTGGGAGTCTGTGTGATTAAAACCCTCTCTCTGCAGACTTTCTCTGTATTAACATTATCTTCATCTTGCACACATCGTATTCAGTGACAGAAAATTATGTCACAGGAACCACTGAAGATAATTTACTATCTTAAGTATAATGTTTTATAGTTGTCAAAGTGACACTATGTGAAGAACCATTACTTTCAAAAAGCAGAATTCCTTTCTATTTATTCTGATGCTTGACCACTTTCGAGGTCTTGGTCTAAGGTCAACCCTACTCCTATGGAAGATGTTTTTATCCCCATGCAAATCACAGAGGAGGCAGGAGTGGGACTGGGGAGGTTGTGACATCCAGGGGTGAGCCATTTGAAGACACTCGTTCCCTTGATGGTACATCTTGCATCTCATGTTGTGGTTGAGAGGGGTGCCCAGCAGGTGGAGGAAAGGTGTCATATGGAAAGGAAACCTGGGCAGATCAGAGTTTGAACTGAGTCTTTCCTGGTCCAGACAGCTGTGATCCTGCATATAAGGATGGGTTGTGGGGGTGGGGGTGGGGGTTGGCAGGGACTGCAGTGGGTGAGGGAGGGGCACCCCAGAATTACAGGACTTTCACTTCCCTGGGTTGGGACGATCCCCCTGGAGAAGGAAATGGCAGCCCACTCCAGTATTCTTGCCTGGAAAATCCAATGGATGGAGGAGCCTGGCAGGCTACTGTCCATGAGGTCGCAAAGAGTTGGACATGACTGAGCGACTTCACTTCACTTAATTTCTCAGACCACAGAAAGACCTTAAAGATCATTTGGTTCAATGCTTGTCTTTTAGTGATGCCCAGGAAGATTGTGACAAGTTTATGATCTGAGAACTAGAACAAGGCCCCAAGGCCCCTGGATGGGTGAATGGAAGCCTTCAAGATGCCATCGTCTTTCCTTGTCTATTATTATGTATTGAAAGCAAACTAACCCACAACCCCAAATTATAGTGGTTTAACACAGCAGAAGTTACATCTTGCTTGTGGAACCATTTAAAGCCTGTCTGGTGGGTACCCTTTCATGCAGTGTTTCAGGGATGCAAACATCTTTTGTTCTGTGGCTTCCTCCATCCCCAAGGGCCTTGAAGTTAGTTGTTAGACTGAGACAGGTAGAAAGAGGGAGTGAAGGATTACATATGAGATGGGCAAGCCTGAAAGTGGGGTATCTCACTTCTTTCTATTCATATTCTAAACTGGCTGGAAGTCACTTACAATGCTGCCTTTCTGCAAGGGAGATTGGGAAATGTAGTCCATCTGCGTGCCCAGGAAGGAGATGGGATGGGTCTGGACAAGCCTGCAGCACTGTTATTTTCAGGCTTTGGGAGGTTTATGTTGAGCAGCAGAGGGCATGTGATCTTTGCAGTTGGATGAACTTGGATTTGGATACTGGTTGAACGACCTTGGGCAAAGAATCAATCTCTTTTAGCCTCAGTTTGTTGAGCTGGGAAATGGGGGCAGCTTGCGGGGTCACCATGAGAATTAAATGGTTGTAAAATGTCTATGTCACAGTACACTTTCACCTTGATTTTAAATACCACTGGGACGAAAAGGATGGGGAAGGAAGAGAAAACAGACTGAGTTCCTGTGTCTTATTTCGATCAGCCCCGTGTGCCTGAACTGCCAAGCAGGGCCCAGCTGAGTCCAGAAAGCAGGCTCCATCAGATGCCGAGAGTGGTGGCATGTTCCTCTGTCTCTTATTAAATTTCAACACAATTCATCCTAATCGACACAGGATTTTGAAAGGAAAAGAAAAACAATAACTCAGGAGCATCTATTTTAATTGATTAATAACAATTCGGTCACTTAACATCTAGTTCCTGCTTGAGATTTTAAGCCCTCATGTTCAGGCTGAAACTGACACATCTAGAGAGCAATGATCTAACTATTTTCTTTTGAAAAAAATAAATTTCTGGCTAGCAGTGGAAAGAGAAATGATCTAAACAGCAGTTGTCACCTTTCACTTAGGGATTTTGATACTCTAAAACGAAATCTGGCTCTCAGGAGGGAAGAGAACTGCTTTCTCACCTTGGATAAGACCCTGGGGGAAGGGACATGGCTCAAGTCTCCTGACATACCCAGGGCCTGGCACATTAAGGGCTTAATAAATATTTGCTGATATTGAATTTATTACTGAATGAAGACAGGTACACAAGTAATAACAATGAAAACAACCCATTTGCCTGACACACCAAGGTTTTGGGGGGCAGGGAACTCCCTCCGTTGTAGTTTTGAACTCCGTGAATGGTTTCTTTAATTGTAAAGCTAACAATAAAATGAACAGACACAACCCCCGCCCCCACCCGCCCCCAACACACACCCAGGGCGACATTCTACAGGGGGATAAAGCCAAGAAGCCCGACTGTGTTTACTTTTTATGGCACTGTCCTTTAAAATAACCTTCCAATCCCGGTTAGTCAAGATGAGTGGCAATGGCATATTGAAAGTAATAAATAAAACGACGTCCGGAGCTCAGAAGGTTAACCTTTTTTTCAAGAAATTATTTTCCCAAGTCCAAGGGTAAAATGGCGCCTGGAATTACAAAATGTGGTCCTGTAGTGACCCCTGGTGCTCCTTCTGTGGAATTGCCAGAGCCTGTAATTGTGCCCCGCTTTGGTTATTAGCATGATCTTGATTGATTTATGAGCTCGGGGCTTGCTTAGAGGGAGAGTGGAAGACGCAGGAGGAGGCTGGGAAAATCCTTTCTTTCAGTCCTTTTTCAAGTGGGTTACCACCACAATGTCAAAATAATTAATACATTAACTCTGGTATAATATTTAAAACTGAAGCCATGTGCTATCTACTCCTGACATACCCAGGGCCTGGCACATTAAGGGCTTAATAAATATTTGCTGATATTGAATTTATTACTGAATGAAGACAGGTACACAAGTAATAACAATGAAAACAACCCATTTGCCTGACACACCAAGG